TGGACTCTCAGTGTATCATTAAATAAAATTTGGTTTTTGCTAGAAGTGTAATAAATTTGACAGAAACTTAGTATATATGCTATGAAGCAGTTTGTCATTGCCTTCTTCCAAGAGCTGCAAGAGATTTACTGACCCAAGACCATCCAATTCCTTTGTGCCTAAGGCATGATTAAAACTCACAATCTTCCAGTTTCTAGCCTGATATCTTAGCCAAACTGGCTGATTCCATGTTAGTTAGATATTATTGTTATGGTGAACCAGATGCTTCAAAAAGTTAAAGGCTACATATGTCAGCATTTGATTGAAATATAACTCTATCTATCTATCTATCTATCTATCTATCTATCTATCTATCTATCTATCTATCTATCTATCTATCTTATCATCTAAATTCTATTTATACCTAGCCATTTTTCAGACAATTCAGGATAGCTCCAATAAAGTCATGGATATCAATAAAATATTTCACCTTATGAAAAACATCAGATAGATAGAGTTTGGAGGGTTGCAAAAAAGATGATTATGTACTCATCAAAAATGTTATATTCCTCCGGTTGCTAAATGTCAGCTCTCCTTCTTTGAATTACTGTAAGGTCCCATCTCAGCTAACCACCCAAGAAAGTAGAACTCTTGAAATAGGCATTGTCTCAAAAGGAACTTTTATTAGGGGTTAGTGACAGTAGGGAAGTCAAGGCAAGATCTGTGGAAAATCCCATTTAAACGGTATAGTTAAACAAGCAGTCTTCCTCTGTCCACCAAAGTCGTAATGCCCATTTGAAATCCAGCCAATCCACAGGTGGCATGATGTTTGGGTAACTGGCACAGTTGGCGCGCATCTCAAGGTCTTGTCCAGTTTCGTTTCTCCATAACTGTCCCCCTGATAAGGGAGGCACACTGTCTTCTCAAGTGGGCAGAGGCGGGAAAGGAAAAGTAGAAAGTGAAAGTTATCCCAAGTGAAAGCAAATCCCCCCCTCCCAGCAGAATGGCAGCCCCAAACAAGAGTACATATGCAGGGAAAAGAATAAGGATTTGGGGACCTGACAGTTACTTTTGTATTGACAAAGAGGCAAGACTGGGCAATATGTATTGTCTGTGTTTAATTAATGTTTTAGAAATCAATCTGTCTTTGAGTGGGCTTCTATATACATAAACACATATTTAGAAAAAATAAGGTAGATACTTGGTGTTTGCTCTTTTAATTTTAATTTAGTGTAGGTTTTTTTTTCACTTTTGAAGGAGATTTTTTGGGGAGGATGTTATTTTTTTTATGTGGTTTGTTGTTCATTCACAAAGTTGTGTCCGATTCTTTGTGATTCCATGGACTATAGCACTCCAAGCCCCCTTGTTCTCCGCTGTCTCCTGGAGTTTGCCCAAATTCATGTTCATTGTGTCAATGACACTATCTAACCATCTCATCCTCTGCTGTCTCCTTCTCCTTTTGCTTTCATTCTTTCCTATCATCAGGATCCTTTCCAATGAGTCCTCTCTTCTCATTTGGTGGCCAAAATATTTGATCTTCAGCTTCAGTATTTATCCTTCCAAAGTACAGTTAGGATTGATTGCCTTTAGGATTGACATTTGATCTCCTTGCCATCCAAGGGATTCTCGGGGGTCTTCTCCAACACCACAATTCGAAAGCATTAATTCTTCAGTGCTCAGTCTTCCTTTATGGTTTACCTATACAGACCTTTGTAGGCAAGGCCATGTCTCTGCTTTTTAATATGCTTTCTAGGTTTGCCATAGCTTTCCTCCCAAGGAGCAAGCGTCTTTTAATTTCATGGCTGCAGTTGCTGTCTGCAGTGATCTTGGAGCCTAAGAAAATAAAATCTGTCATTGCTTTCATTTCTTCTCCTTCTATTTGCCAGGAAATGATGGGACCGATGCCATGATCTTACTTTTCTTAATGTTTCAAGCCAACTTTTGCAATCTCCTCTTTCACCCTCATCAAGAGACCTTTTAGTTCCTCTTCACTTTTTGCCATTAGAGTGGTTAAGTCCACATATCTAAGGTTGTTGATATTTCTCCCAGCAATCTTAATTCTGGTTTATGATTCATCCAGCCAGCATTTCATATTATATACTCTGCATATAAGTTAAATAATCAGGCTGAAAATATAGGTAGTCCTCGACTTACAACAGTTAATTTAGTGACCGTTCAAAGTTACAACGGCACTGAAAAAAGTGACTTCTGACTGTTTTTCACACTTAAGACCATTGCAGCATCCCCATGGTCACATGATCAAAATTCAGATGCTTGGCAACTGACTCATACTTATGACAGTTGTGCTGTCCCAGGATCACATGATCATCTTCTGTAATCTTTTGATAAGCAAAGTCAGTGGGGAAGCCAGATTCACTTAACAGCTGTGTTACTAACTTAACACCTGCAGTGATTCACTTAACAATTTTGGCAAGAAAAGTTGTAAAATGGGGCAAAACTCACTTAACAAGTGTCTTAGCCACAGAAATTTTGAGCCCAACTGTGGTTGTAAGTCAAGGACTACCTGTATACAGTCTTGTACTTGTACTTTTGAACCAATCAGTTGTTTCATGTTTGGTTCTAATTGTTGTTTCTTGACCTGCACACAGATTTCTCAGGACACAGGTAAGGTGGTTTGGTACTCTCATCTCATTAAGAATTTGCCACAGTTGTTGTGATCAAAGTCATTAGCATAGTCAATGAAACAGGAGTAGGTGTTTTTCTGGAACTCCCTTGCTTTCTCCATAATCCAGCAAATGTTGGTAATTTGATCTCAAGTTCCTCAGCCTCTTTGAAACCCAGCTTGTATTTCTGATGATTCTCAGTTCACATATTGCTGAAACCTAGCTTGTGAGACTTTGAGCACGACCTTGCCAGTGTGTGAAATGAGTGCAATTGTACGATAACTTGAACATTCTTTGATACCCTTTTTTGGGATTGGAATGTAAGATCCAATCCTGTGACCATAGTTTTCAAATTTTCTGGCATATTGAGTACAATACTTTAACAGCACCATCTTTGTTGTTGACAATGCTTTCTAGGGCTCATCTGGTTTTGCACTCTACCAGGATGATGATTAAGGCATGAGTGACTGTGAGCAAGGCCTCCTGATCCAGGAAAGGGTGCAATTATGGCGCAACCCTTCCCCAGCCATGGCTGCCACCTGCTCATCAGGCAGGAGACATAAGTCCAAGAGGACCCCAGATTGCACACCAACTCACTCCAGGGCAGTGCAAAGATAAGAACTCACCAGACTGTGGGGAGAGAGGTGAATAACCCAAAGCCACTTAGTCTAACCTTCCAACGATGCATTCATCACATATGAGTCCATCCTCTTTACTGGTTGTACTCTTTCTTGCTACCATTCCCAGCATTAGAGCCTTCTCTAGAAACCTAATATTCACATGGTGTGTCCAAAGGATAATTTAAGCCTGGTCATTTGTGCCTGTTGTGAAAACTCTGGATTGATTTGTTTGATGATCCATTTGTTTCTTTTCTTCTCTGTCCACATGTGCTACCCAACTAATTACTGCAATATCACTGCTGACTAGACAGTTGTGTTTAACCAATAATCTATTCTTTTCACTCAGTATTTTGTTAAGTCTTCCAAAGCACTGTCTTTCTCAGTGTTCATTTATTGTATAGGTAGAAAAGGTAAAGAGAAAGGCAGCCAAGGTAATAATTCACTAGAGCAAGAACTGGGTAAACCATAATGTCACTGTTTAATTATCTATCTGTAATGTCATGAAAGACATTTTCCAATGTTTATTCTAGTCTGAGAAAAAAAACCATTTCAGTTTATATCTTGCAATCATATAATTCACCTCTAAAAGTTAATATTACACCTGAAAACTTTGACCTCATTCTGTTGTCCTGTATATTAATTTATGCACATATATTTTTTAAAACATTGTGCTGAGCTCAGTTGTGATTGATATGCAAATTACATGTGCAGTTCTCTTAATTACAATTACTGAATGCTGGGTGTAATTCAGCGTTTTCTATATTTATTTAATGGTTTAGAAAAAAAGGAGTCTATTTTGAAAAAAACCCCTCATCTGTTTGTTCTCTCTTGCTTCTCACAGATTTCAATTTTGATGTTGTTTATATAGTTCACAAAGCCTGTTGCAGTTTTGTTTCTCCATGCTACCACAAAGTAGAAGTCAGAGCAAATACTCTGTAGTGGTTGTCTAGACTACTATTAGTTCATTGTATGATATGGCTTAAGTAGCCATTTTGTTGGCATCCTTTGTTAGCATTTCCTTCAAAATGTTATCTTTCATCTGCTTTTGTCTGACATTTGATCTCAAATATTACTAATTTGCCGAAGGGGGAAAAAAAGCAATTTTCTGCTTAGAGGTTTCCTCCTTAAAGAAGTAGTCCTAGAAAATTAAAGTCATCCTATTTTTCAAGATTTGCGAACGGTATATGTATAATTCATAATATGTTAGCATGTTCCAAATCAGGAATTGGCAAACCTTTCAGATACTGGGCACAAAAAATTAAAATAAAAGAATTACAAATATTACAAAAAAAAAACCCCACCTCACAAAGAATCCAGCCAAATTTTCCAGCATTTCAGCTGTTACCCTTCAGAGCTCGTCCAATGCATGAATAATAGAATCCAATGCATTTAAAATAATAGAAATACCTACTCGTGTTACAGTTAAGCTAGCCAGGCCTATGTTATTGCTATATGATTTTTAAAATGATAGAGATGAATAGTAGATGTTACCCCTTTCAAACTTTTCTGTTTTCAGTGTGTTGTTTTTGTAAAAAGCCATTGATTTCCCCCCCTCCCGTTTGACAATTTATGTGCAATCGTAATCCTAAATTAAAACATTATAACTTACATGGTTGAAATTAAAATTTATAATGATCTTTTGATATTTGTCAATTAAGCTGTTTTACTCATCAAAACAAAATCATAGATTTAACTTTTAAGTTATATTTGAATAAATCTTAAATGTTCTCCATTTTGGTTAAGAATGCTGAAACTGGTTTTATTTTGAACTTGACAGGTACTCTGGATGTTGAAGAGAGAAATCGTCAAATGAAAATGAACAAGTACAAACATGTAACAGGATCAGATTCCAGGCTGGAGCAAGATTATCATTCCAAGGCAAGGGCATTTTGTTTTGAAAAACAACAATATATGTAATTGTCTAACTTGATGAGGCAGTAAGATGCTAGTAATTGTTTCATGGGTAGCATATTTAATTAAGAATGCAATGTTGTTGTGCATGTTTATTAGGAAATAAATTAGACTACAATAATTCTTTTCAGCTCCTACTTTTTTCCTTATCTAAGCTTCTAGAAAAGCCCTTATGAAGGACAACAATTTTAAGAGTATTAAGAAGGTGATCTCAGGAGCACTATGGTTTTGTTGTCTGACAGAAACATCATTTTCCTTCTATGCACTCAAAAAGTGCTCTCTGCAAAAGTATAAAAGAAAAAGACAGTCTATAGTAGTACTATTTACTCCCATAGGAATGCGTATAGCTAGGGCTAAAAGATTCTGGATCATTGTAATTCTATCTGATAGGAACTGGTTTACTAAGATTAGAACTTACCAGGGATGTTAAACAAGTGTCCATTTAAAAGTATTAAATGTCAGATTAATTTTGTGATGTGCAGTAATCAGCTGTGAATTTAGTAGCCCATCAATGATGATGAAATAAATATCTGAAGTTAACCCTATACCCCATCCTTTACCCTTGTGTGTAGACATATCCTAGACCCTTCTTTTTGTAATTTAACATTGAGGGTTTCAAGATTCAGTCCTCTGTGTAATATATTGGGCTATACTATTACGGATATGAGTAGATGATTACTATCTGGCACATAAATGTGAGGTGTGCTCAGTTGCTCTGAAGCATATGGATTTACTTTGACATCCAGTAAAATAAATGCAGAGGAATTCAATTCCTTAGCTCTTTGAAAGAGCTACATTTTTTCCCAGGAAGCCTATAACTGTTCTATGCAACTGCCTCACAATTCTAGGAAAAGACATACTTTCTTGAAGGAGTTACAAACAGCTGCTACATTTGTGCCTCTTACATTCTACAAAGCCATTTTGTAATTCAGTCCAAAGCTCTGTACAGCCCTCCAGATAATTTTTATTGAATTCTGTAAAGAATGATTGGCTGATAGTATTATCCTTGCTGCTGGAATGCAAAACCTAATACTGAATAAACATTAGTCAAATGATATTATGCTATGTCTTGCTTATTCATCTAATTTGATAAAATGACTGATACACTCTTAGTAAATTAGTATGCTATTTGTCTATTCATCATGTGGTAATTATGAGCAAATGTTTTCCTTATATTCGTTATAATCTTAGAAATATTGATAAAAATGATTTGTAGCTGACATTATATGTATGTGTGTTTGCTTAAAGGACTACATGTCATGAAACATGCAATTATTTTAGGAAGTATGACTAGTAGCATCAATAATATGGTGGGGTTTTGTTTTTGAGATTACACCCTCCAATATGTTTTCACCAAGCGGGCTACTTTGAGTTACTTTGTCAATAGTCTTCAGAGAGCCTTTTCAGGGATAATAGTGCTGCTGCCAGAGGGAGGAGTTGAAAACTAGAAGGATATGGTTTTTATGTGGAATGTACTGAAGAAGTGGATCCCCAGGAGGGAGGGGTTGCATTCCTGAGGAGTAAGAGTCTACTTGGCCCAGTTATTATGTGAGAGAGAAAGAGGGTGAAGAGAGACATTCCCTAATAGTTTACATATTGTAGATGCGGATAGTAAAGTCTTCTCAGTCTGGCAAGATTTTGTCTATAGGTGTGAAACAATAAAAATCTCACCTTGTAAGAATTGGCAAGTGTCATTCTTGGTTTTGGACCTGACAGTGTTAGCCTTCTTTTAAGATGGCCAGTGGACTTCCACAAAATGCTTTTTTTGTTAAATTAAGGTTCTGGTTGCATTAAGATTATTGAAGTCTTCTAAATCCAATTAATAATATCAAAATGAAAAGTAGTTTGTGTGGATTCTAATTTTATATTTGGCTATGTAAGATATCTTGGATGATTAAACATTTGAACATTGGCTGATCAACTAATTACATTGCATATATATATATATGAAAGTTACAAGCTTCCATATAATGTCTGATATTCTGCTATGTGCACACTCACATGCATATCTCTTATAGAACTTAACCCTCAGATATTATGAAAGTGTTTTAACTCACAATTCACATAAGTGTAAGCAGAAACAAAATATGCATCTTTCTGAGATACATTTTCTACATAAAATATAAAGTAGTAATAATTCACTCTTTGCAATGGATGAAGCTAATTCCACTTCTATCACTTTGAGAAAGATAGATGGTTGCTATGCACTATGATGATGAAAAAATGAAAATATAATGTTATAAATCCCATCCCTTTCATATTTACATCCTGACATCCCAACATATTTTTTATTCCATCCCCACCTCCATGGGCCAGATGTCACTCAGAGATTATCAGAGATTCCAAGTTCTACTATACCCTGTGGCACTGCCAGACATTTGTTCATTATAAATGCCATGATGGAATATATGTGAAGCTGACACATTGATTAAACATATATAGAATGAATCATTACTGATCTGACATTTATGGACTGAATCATTATCCCAACTTATAGGATATGTTGTTTACACTGCATTTGTTTGCTAAGCCTGAATTTGCTTCTTCTGTAGGCAAGTCAGATATCCAATCTGTTTAGAAACACATTTGAAAAAAAAGTGTGTCGATATTTAATTTAACAAATTAAATCAATTGATTTAAATTAGTCAAATTTTGCAGGCATATCTGAATCAAATTTAATGAGTCCATTGAATTAACATGAAGGATGTTAAGTTCTTTACTTGTACATGAAGTGAGGATTGTATATAAAGTAATATTTCAGGATTACATTTATTTTAGCAAAATCAAAATCTGGTGGCTGGTTTATTACTAAGACTGCAATTTTGCCGACTTTTATGTGAAAGTAAAAGAATAGAATGGGATATATCATGGAGGAGCTACGGTTCTTAAAAGAACTAAGAGACATCTAGAGCGCTGCTAGAGGAAAACAAGGGATGAATCCAACTGGACATGACTTAGAGCTGCTATTAAGCCCTACTTCATGGCAGTAAGAGCAGCAAAACACCACTATTACTCCACTTTTATTATGTCTGCTATGTGCTCCCAATGGCCCTGTTCAGGATCACCCAGTCCCTCCTGGCTCAGGAGGTTTCAGATATTCATATTCAGGGCCATGCAGAGGAATTTAAACACTCAATGGACAAGGTTGCTTGGATTCATTCCCAGCTGGAACCCATGCATGGTGCAGATCCATTTGAGATGCCTGGAAAGATCTTATCTGGTTATTGTGGAATAATTTGACCTGTTGAACCTGATGAAATGGACAGGGTCTTTGATGCTGTCAGTGCAACCACCTATCAATTAATCTCTGTCCTTCCTGGCTGGTGAAAGTCAAGGATGGTGACAGCCAGGCAGGTTTAGGCAGTGACAAATTCTTCATTACCGGAGATAATTCTGGAACTTTTTAAAGACGCCTTGGTTTGTCCCTCCTCAAAAAACCATTTCTTGATCCCATCTGTCTGGACAATTTCCATCCAGCTCCCATCTTCCCATTGTAGGGAAGATGGTAGAGAAAGTAGTTGTATGGTAGTTTAAGAAGGCCCTGGATGAAAGGGATAGGTTTAATGCCCAGTTATGGGACAGAAACAGCATTGGTTGCACTTGATGATCTCTAGCGAGTGTGATATGGGATAATGGATCCATCCTTGTTCTCCTTGACTTCTCAGCAGCCTTTGATACCATTAACTATGGAATCCTTTGGGGCTGCTTATAGATTGTGGGGTTGGATTGCACAGTCTTGTGCTAGTTTGACTCCTTTCTTGGTCCCAATCAGTGTTGATAGGGAGTGAGAATTTGTGGTGTGCTGCAGGGCTTCATACCCCCCCCCCCACTCCTTTTTAACATGCACATAAGGCCACTGGGCAAGATCAATCAAAATCCTGGGATGAGGTTCCATCAGTAAGCTGATTATATTCAAGTTTACATCTCCATCCTGGGTGACCCAAGTGATGCTGTTGTTGCCCTCTTACAATGTCTACAGGCTGGTAGGGGTCTGCATAGGGGACAACAGACTTTGGCTGAACCCTGGTAAAACTGAGTGGCTTTGGGTGTGTGGAGCACATTCAGTTCTGGATGGGGTTGCACTATCCTAGATAGATTTGGTGCACAATTTGGAGGTTCTCCTGGATTCACAACTCCTGTTTGATGGACATGTGGCAGTCATGGCTAGGAAAGCTTTTGTGCAACTTTGTGTTGTGCCCCAGCTGCACCTTTTTCTGGATTGGGACTCCATGCACTCAATCACTCAAGCCCTGGTCATCTCACATTTGGACTACTGCAATGTGCTTTATATGGAGCTACTCTTGAAGAGTATCCAGAAGCTTCTGTTAGTGCAAAACACAGCTGTATAGGCAGTTCTTGAGGCCCCCTAGGATGGCCTATGTTACACTGCTGTTCTATGAGCTGTATTAGTTGCCAGTTTGCTTCCAGGTCCAATTCAAGGTATCTGTGGGTCCAGGCTATCTGAGGAACTGGCTCGCCATAATGGGACTAGCCCATCTTCCCCAGCAGAAGGGTCATGCTGTGGACCCTATTGGTTAATGAATTTCAGCTGGCAGGGTCCAGAAGAAGAGCCTTTTCTGCCATGGCTCTTGCCCTCTGGAACATCATGCCTCCTGAGGTGAGATCCACGCCTACCCTATTGGCCTTCCAAGAAGGATTGGAACATGGCTGTGCCAATTAGCCTTGGGCCCCAATGTGTGAATTTTGGAAGTGTCTAAAGATAACACCCCACCTTCTCCCCACTTTGCTTCCTTCCTCTCCATGTAGGTCAATATTATTTTAAGACTTTTAAATTTAAGATCTCTTATTTATCGTTTTAATGTAAACTGATTGGAAGCTATATAGAGTCACGTGCAGCAAGTTGGGTAACATATAAGTTTAATAAAGAAATAATGAACAATTAATCAGTGGAATGGCTTGCCTCTGGAAGTTGTGGGTGTGCCATCATTGTGTGTGACTGGACATTC